TTGCATACAATGAGTTCCACAGACAACAGATGTGCCTCCTGCTGCTGATCCATTTCAAGAAGTTATTTTTTGAAATGAGTAAATAAATCTAGAAGGAATCTTGACTATGGTTACATCCTGACATGTACTTCCCTGCCTGTAGCCTAAAGTCACATGCCTACACCTATACAAAAAGGACAGTATTCCATTTTGCATTCATTAAACATTGAATTTACTACATTATCTTAGTTTTTTTTTTTTTTTTTTTTTATCTACAAACTAGCACAGCAAAGCTCAGAGTTTCAAAGCTTGAATTTCTTCATGGATCTGCTCTACAGGATTTACTCAAAAAAAGTATATGATGAAATAATCATATATAGGGAGTGCAAGCATTGAGCTGATCAGGTGACTCTAGCTTAGACTTATAACATCAACCTTTGCCAAATGCTTGCAGGAATTCTGATCTAGATCCTATTTTTGTGCTTAAACATGTTTCTTCACTGTGTCTTCTCGTCCTTTCAATACACTACAAACATTCTAATCTAGCTACAAGATTTATTCTGTATTATGGTATAGCTAACAATTGGGAGTAAATTAGTACCTTGCAACAACAAACATATAGAAACCTCTCAGTTCCTCTGCCTTACTACAAGTTAAGCTATCTCTGTTCTTATGATAATGGTAATCACTGTTGTTATCACTAAAACCCCATTAATTAAGTTGGTCTATCAGCTGAGAAGTATCTGTAAAATCACACACAGCTACGGAAGTGTTTAACCATACCCACATGAAACAAAAAGTAATTCTGAACATTTACTTTTTTGGATGTTAAAGACGAGTTCTGCACGCATGTAAAGGAGGATATTTTCTCCTTGTTTTTAAGGCTATTATTTTAGAAGGATCCTAGGAGTATATGATGTCTAGTTCTCACTGAATTTAATGGCATAACTGATAACAGAATGAATTAACTATTAATCACTCACTAGAGTTCTGTTATCCCATTTAAAGGTATTATTTGCTCTCTAATGAGAAATTAAAACTAATTAAAGTAGTTTTTATTTTACAGTTGATATCTACATTTCAAAAGACCCTTTATTCCTCCCTGATCTTAGTAAATTGGAAGATAGGTAGTATAAAGGAGCTATATGTCTGAGATAGCATATTTAAACTTCAGCTAAGGCCCTTTCTATTGATAGTCTGTGTTGATACTTCTCAGATGGAGGTTCTTTATGTGCAGCTAGAATACAGTGTTGAATTCTGCAATCAGTAGCAAAAGCATAAGATGTGATTTATTCCTCTAAGGCAAGAATCTGTTCTAATGCATCATAAAGAACTTTTCCACATGCTTTTAATACCAGAAAATATTTTTTCATTCATCCAACATTATTCTAACCTTGTTTTTACTAAAATACCAATCACTAACCTGTGCAAACCTCAATAGTTTAAGAGCAAATAAACCGCACCACCATTGCAAATATAAACACTCTTTGTTGAACAATGCAGTATAAGAATATACAGAAACAAGAGGACATTACACATTAAGATTAGTAATAAAATAAAAGTCAGAAGTTGCGTTTGTTACAAGTAATACGAACTCATAACTATATAGGTTAGCTGGCAAAATGGTCAAGAAATATAACGAGACTCAATCATTGTACAATTATTTATTTTTCTGACTATAAGGTAACAAATATAGCTGCTGTCCATGTGTATTAGAACATATATAAAACAAGGTCTTTTATTAGCTTTCTTCTAATATGTATTTTCTTTATTACTAAAAAGTGGTAAACTAGCATTTAAAAATCATAGTATAACAACCTTTCACCAACAGACTAAGCAATCAAATGATATACATACACAGGAAATTTGCTGTAGTATTTTATATGTAGGCAATCCTTAACTGAAGGGAAGCTTTGTCTTATAACCAGGCTGCTTTGTTATCCCCATCTTAAAAAATATACATCTATTATCACAAAGACCACTTTTGCCAAAACAATGCTATGAAAGTTTAGCCTTGCTTGCTTAAACTAAGGGCTTAGCTTTGCTCTGGATAGGTTATATAACTTCTATAGATATCAATGGGGATTATGGTGTCAAAGGTAAATGCTCAACCTTGCTCAATTTCAAAGTTTCAATGCATTATTCAGAATTGCCATGAGATGTGAACAAATGAGGTGAAAATTTTGAAGAGCAGTAAGACTACAGCAGAATTATATTTAAGGCCCAGTACAGTACATAGCAGGTAAAAAAAGCCGTAGACTTTTCACCTGATTTCTTATCCATTAATCAGGCAGGTACCCTAACTTAAACATAATGTACTAAATACTACTGAATCAATGAGGCATTGTGTCAGAGGAGACCATAGCCACGCACTTCTGCTGTGGTGTCTGGTGGAGAAAGCATCACAATAGGTCTCCTGAAACCTACCTTCTGTGATGCTTCAGAATTCTCTCTCTCACACATTTCTATTCCCACTGTTAACCAGTTTAAAAAAAAAAAAAAAGTCTAGAATAAACCTAAGAAAACCTGATTGCTCAAGAGTCTAAATAACAAGTTTGTAATAGCAGCAAGAAAGGAAAACTGTGTAAATAGTACTTACAATGGGTCTTAGGGGCATCATTAGAACACTAAATAACATATGGCAAATGTGTGTTGATATGCCTGTTTCCTATGTGAGTGCAAAAAGGCTGATCCCAAAACAAGACTAAGAAAAACATCATGTACACATTGTTTACTGTTGACTTTGGAAGGCTGAGCTGAAGAAAACAAAATTCTCCTTTACTTCCGCAGTTAATATCATTATCATTGAAGAAGTACAGTGCTACATTACATTTTGTACTAAACTTACAAAAAAGTCAGCTTCTAAGGAAGCACTCTCTTTACTTTCTATTAATTTTGATTTCTGCCCCGGATCACTCATAAAATACTAAGCATAAAACATTCTTCAAAACAATGACATATTGAAGACTACTTCATGCTCCATCCTGAGAGTCGGTAGTCCCAGTTCTACTTTTCTGCATAGCTAATTATTATTTACCAAACAAACCATAAAAATCCTTTCCCAGCATTGTTTTCACCACCTTTCAACAGAAAATGAAGAGGCCCCATCTGATTAATACAGTCCAATACAGATTAAACCACAAATAAGCCCGAACAGAACATGTCAATACCCAGATAGGCCCCTGAAAACATTGTCTGAAGATATATAGAAATTCCTTTTTTTGCTGCCTATAGTTAATAATTGCATATGTATAGTATGTAAGAAATAAGAGAGCTCAGGTGGTAGCATATACGCTAACCTTTGTTGATAATAAACCAAATATATCTTTTGTATTTTAGCCATAGTCAATGTAACTGTATTTTAATATAAGCATGCTACAATTTTTCAACCATTCTCTCTCTCAGGTATCAAAGCTGCAAAACTACACATGTGGAATTCTATCAAACAATTTAGTTACACACTTACAACAGACAAGGCCCAAATCCAAACTCACTGAAGTCAGACTCTGGATTAGGCTTCTATTTTGAAAGATCTATGCTGTTTATTTAGCTAATATTTTTAAACTATTGCTTCATCTGCAAGTATTCCCTTGTCAGTTTTACACAGATTTATATGCAACTAAAACATTACTAACTCAGGTATTAAGTCACAGAAGAGAGCTGTGCTCTTAGTCATCTGGCAAGAATAACTTATAGAACTTACATTATATTAGACTTTTTAATAAGTAACTGAAAAGTTTCTCATTATCTGAAGACTAACTTACATTTTTCAGGTCTTTCTTGTGTTCCGTTTTCGCTTGGGGTGCGAGGGAAGGGATAGAGAATCACATGCAGGATCAGTTACCATGAATTTACAGGGAGGAAGTAAATATACTGACCTTCATAAAATATGAACATGGACACACCTTGCAATAATTAATGACAGCACTGGTATTGGAGGGTACATTTAACATAAAAAAAATCAAGTATATTCTTACCATTATGAATAGACAGCTAGCAAGACCTGGAACAGTAACAGTATGAACTGAGAAACTCAGTTTGACATGGCCCTCCCTATATTAAGGAGAAAGGAAAGTCACATGTACTTATCTAAATTTCACTACTTTTTTTTGGTAGAAAGTAGAAACTCTTGGTTAGAATATGCATAATTTCTTAACTTCATGTTAAAAAGCAGATTCACTTTTTGATGTACGAGTTATTCCCATATATTAGGAAAAGAATTAAATGTTGGAATTAAAGAAAAGAAAAAAAAAACAACAAGGGGGCAATGTTCAAAAGACTGTCCAAAGGAGGGGGGAAAAAGGGAGGGAAAAAAAAAAAAAGAGAATAATCTGTTCTCCATGTCCATGATAGGGATGACAAGAAGCAATCAGTTTCAGTTGTGCTGAGAAATATTTGGGGTAGACATCAGGAAAAGTTTCTCAATAATAATAAAGCTCTGGAAAAGACTGCCTATACAGGTTAGAAAATCTGTCTCCATGAAAGTTTTTTTTTTTAAAAAACAGGTTAAAAAGGTAGGCATTAGGAATGACATGACTGCTGATTCCGCCTTAGGGCAACAAAATGGGACTATATGATCTCTTAATGTCCTCAGTAGCCTTGCTTTTCTATGACTGAAAAATATCCCCTGTAACCACTTATTCTGAGTGAAATAGATCAGCAAAGGCATTATACCTGTAGCCCCTGCTTAATTTTTTCTCAAAGGTTAGTGTAAAAATATTGCACTTCAGACACGTTCATTTTGTTCCCAAAATGAAATTAAGTCACAAAGATGATGAGTTTTTTCCCCCGGAACACAAATTACAGCATATGGTATTTGCCAAATGTAGGCAAAGGTTATCTGCAGCCATTGCATTTTTGTTCCAGAGGTAAAAAGGTCCCAAGCATACTGCAGAAAATCAAATCTCCACAAAATGCTGAAATTATCACTAGTTCCATTGCATAACCAGTATCTGTTTTCATATAAAAAAATAAAGTGTTTGAATTAAACATTATTGCATCAGCAACTTTTTTTTTTTTTTTTAAATATCCCCTATTCAAGTCAAACATTAAATTATTTTTATCACGTAAAATATAAGGTCTTTTTTAAAGTATCAAGTAGATATGGTATATGTGCCATAGAGAAAAAGAAAGTCTAAAGGAACGACAAACATCAAATCAGAGATGACAGAAAACAATCATTAAGTTGTTTCTTTCCATGATTGAAAAAAAGAAAAATCCAAAAAGGTTGCATCGACTACTGTGTACATGAAAAACATCTCTTCTCATTGAACTCAAGGCGTTGAAGCAGGAGTCGCTTTCAAGCTGTCAAGCGCGGCATGAATTCTGAAGTGTAATCTGGACTCCATAGAGTATTCTTTGTAGTTGTTTCTGCAAAAAATAAAGTTAATTTATCAGCTAGAAAGCTCAAAGTGAGACATTTTTGACCTGCCTTGTTTCCACCTTCTGCATTCATTGAAGTACCAAAATTAGTCACCTTCAGTTATTCCATAACGAACAAGGCTGATACCATCAGCAGACAGTTTAACTCACCCATATATCTAAAATTATCTCCACAGACTGAGTAGAGACCTATATTAATGCTAATAATGACACGTCTAGTAAAAGTCAATTCCATTCTTAGCAACTGTTTTCCTCATTTATTGTGATCTTTTCAAGAGCCCTCACAACTGCAAAAGCAAGAACAAGTGAAACGACAAACTGTGAAAAGATAAACTAGAAAAGGTGACAGAAAAGAAAGGCTGTTAGGTGAAAATGTATGTTCAATTTCAAAATACGTAACTTAACCAGTGTAATAAAACATAGGAAAATCACACTGTGTAATCCAAAAAATATATACATAAAATTATAATTCACATTTATACATTGTATTGCACCACGGGTGTATACCTTTCTGTACACACAAGGGGCAAATTATATCCCCTACTGCCACGTACAAACCAAGTAAATATGTTGCACTACAGAAAATGCTGCTCTCTAGCCCCCTCCTACCACAGGGTTCAAAAGAAAAAAGAGAGGAAATCCGAACTGTACTATGCTTAACCTATTCATCCAACACCTTTTTTGCAGCTGATGCACATCAGTTCTCTGGGAAACAAGTAGTGTCAATCCTCCTTCTGGACTCTCCAAGTCCATTGGAGCATGTAGTAGAGCTCAGCCCCTTCCTATCATATCTAGGGCCCCAACAGCTCAAGAGGTTGAATGGAAAGGACATATTTTCCCTTCACACTATACTGTCCTGTCTGATATTGTCTATAATGTGACTGAAGAACAGAAATGAAATATCAAGGAAATTAAAATTCGACCTAGAAAAGCTGTCCAATATAGTTAAGAACACAGAGTCATAGTTTTTGTCAAGGTATTGCCAGAAAGAAAATTTGGCATTTACCCACTGCTAAAGTTACTCAGTTATTTTTACTCTACAGACATAAACAAACATAAAATCCACCTACTTTGCAGTTTCTATGTATCTTATTGCTTTTCCTCTCTCATCCTGATGTTTGTACAGAAGACCCAACTCATACAGTGTGAATGGCACCAAATAATTGTCATATTTTATCTGCTTCTCACTAGAAAACCAGAAGGATACAAAAGTAGTTAATTACAACCTTTTCTTGAACGAGCTCTTAACTTTTAAATGTAATCACCACCTGCAGTAATAGCCTATAGCCAGAGAATACACTCGGGAACTTCTTTACCACTTGCCCCTGAGCATATCAATCATACCTGTAAAGAGTGGGCATGAAATACTATCAATATGATCTTCTAGAACCATGAAATTATTCATTCCTATTTACTATTTCTAGATTATTCCTACTTACTCCTTCCAGAAGACAGGAGGGCCATTTGTTCTCTTCTGGCCTCCCCCATTGCCCCAGTTTCTTTCCAAAGAAAATCGAGAATGGCCTTGCAGTGATATTCACAAGCTCCCTCAGCACTTTTGGATGTATCCCATCAGGTGGACTTGTGTATATCCACTTCCCATAGACACATGTCCGGTATGTTTAAGTGTTCCGTAGCCTGATACTCCTCCACCAAGTGTAAGTCTTTGATGCTCTCGAGCTTACCACGAGTCTCAGGAATCAAGGATGCCTGAAGGCTGGTTGTACCAGAAAGACTGACACCAAGGCGGCATTGAGAACTGTGGTCTTTTCCACAACCTTTGTCACCAACTCCCTTGCCCCATTCAACAGTAGGCCCACATTTTCCCTAGTCTTCCTTTTGCTGCTTATGTATTTGTAGAAGCCTTTTTGTTGCCTTTCATACCCCTCATCAGACTCAACTCTAGACGGGCTTTGGCTTTCCTAACCTCATCCCTGCTTGCTTGGGACAGCATCTCTAAACTCCTCCCACATCACCTGTCCCTCGTTCCACCTCCTGTACCTTCCTTTTTATGTTTGAGTTCAGTCAAGAGCATTGTGTTCATCCATATAGGCCTCCTACCATCTTTGCCTAACTTTCTGCTCACTGGGATGAACCATATCTTGAGCTTGGAGGAGGTGATCCCTGAACTTCAACCAGCTCTTCTGGATCCTTCTTCTCTCCAAGGCCATATCCCATAAGCCCTGGTTAAATTTTAACACTCCGATTACTCATTGGTATAAAATAAAATATCAACTGATTTTGCAGAAGGAAAAAGTTCCTAACTAGCACTGGAAATGTGTCAACATTTTGCGAGCAACAAAGAGGCACCTCACTCCACCAAGACAAGCCTTGATGCAGCGAAAGCATGTTTTAAAGCAACAAGACTGCTCATGTGACAAACTGTCATAATATACTGCAGCAGTCCAAGAAAAGCAGAGACTCAATATCTGGAGACTCAATTTACCAAAAAGATTCTTTTAAAGTAGTACTGTTTGAAGGTTTTTGAGATGACTCCAGGCCTCCAGTATGTCCAATACTTTTGGAGGTTGTTTGTTTGTTTTTAAAGAAACAACATTCCGTTAATTCCTCTGTACCAATGAAAAGCCACTATGTTGTAACTTGCAAAGTATCTCACTAAACCCACTTGGGATCTTAGACACGGCAAAAAAAAGCCAGCTGGTAAGAAAATCCTAACAAGTATTACAATTAATATAAATTCTCCTAAAATAAGGGCATTTGCTTGATTAATTAGAATAAATGCATGAACTGTGTCAAAATTCCTCTTTCAGTCTAATTACCCTAAAAATTCTACTAAGTTCCCAGTTACAGTCATGACTATAATGCTATATAAAAATGTTATTACAGTAGGTATGAATCTGACATCTTAAGTGTTTAATAAATCAGTATCATAGGCAACTCAAATTTTCAACTGACACTGGTAACAATGTAAATAATTTCCTATCTACATAGCAAAGTGCTAACTGCTGTAACTCCAAACGTTGGAAAAAAAAGTCAATATATCTAGGTGAACTATCTAAACTTAATACTAGTCGTTCTTCAAATACAAAAACACTAATTCCAAATACATTTAGGTAAGTGTTACTTGTCAGTTTGGTATTTTTGGTCTAAAATATCATAATTATGTCAAGCTACGTAAATTAAAAATTTCCACAGAAAAAAGCTAGCAAAGCTTTACGGTCTCTCAACTACCTACAGAGATATTTTAATGGCAGCTGCTCAAAAGAATGTATTTTTTCTGCCAAAGTTTAACTCCTCAAAATTCTTATTTTGAGCATTTTAAGAGTGCTTCCACAGGAACATCAAAAGCATCACCAAGTTACAGAACACAAAGGTAAAAAAAGCTGTTTATATAGTTTTTACCTTTGAATTACTTGATTGAAACACAGTTCAGCTTGCATGAATCTTCCCAAGTGCTTCAGACAGAGACCTTTCAGTAACTGCAACATGCACACATCATCCATATAGTATTCATTGCGACCTAAAAGTAAAAGAAAAATACACCATAACAATTAAAGATATCTTCACGAAAAGGAGAATGAGAGATGTGCAGTAGGGAATATTGAGGCTCAGGAGTCTGCTTATCAAAATTTTACATCTTAAAACATATATAACCCTCAGGCACAATTTTAAATACATAAGGCGACACGTTCACAACACTGCTCTTTTTCTCTTTATAGACACGGGCCAACTATTAAGAAGAAATATAAATACTCTGTATAAATACTCAGTTCCATATCAGGAAGCCAGTACAAAGTAGGCATAACCTTGCATCATATACCTGTATCACCTAGAACAGTAGGCCAAGACTTCAGTAAGCCAAGCCACCTTCACACTACATTCTCTTAAAAGCATCCACTGTTCCAAAGCACTGGCAGACCTTCAGTAGCATCAGTAGTGTTACAAGCACGAGAACAGACAAGGAATCTGTCAGGCAAAACTTTCAGAAAGCATTATATGGTAGTAAAAATGCAATAAACTGTTTGTTAGTATTCCCATCATCTCTATCAATTAAGAAGCTTCACTAGCAGTGGTATAGTTTGGAAAATTTAAGAAAGATTTGTGTCCAATAGAATTAAAAGTGTCAGCTGAAGAAGCTTTTGTTAAGTGGTCCAGAAGATAACCTTAACAAATGCAGTCCTTTCTTGCTGCCTTAGTTTATAACATTTGCTGGCTGCTGTAAAGGAAAAAAAACCACATATGGAAAGACAGATGGCGGCACATATATTAACAATTCAGGAAGCAAAACATCCTCCCTTCAGATCATCTTGTTTACAACTGGTTACCAGTCCTCTAAGGTCATGTTCATTTCTTAAAATAGTCTGCCAAAAAATTCTACATAAACAGTTGCAAAACATTCAAAATTAAAGCATCTTAAGATTCATTGACGTGCTTTGCCACTATATTCAGGCTGATTTCTGTCTCCATTTAAACCTGCAGAAGTTTTGATAGATAGCTAGCCTCTAACTGTGCTTTTAATGTCAGACAGAACCACAATAATGGGTGAATATTTTGCATTCTTCTAGCACAGCTTTGCTAGGATAAGGTATTAGATTCATGTGACTGTCCCCTATAGAACTCATGCCCTGAAATTACTGGGGACAGGTACTGATGCCAGTCTTTACCATCTTCAACTATTATCTCCTGATATTTCCCACAGGAAAAAAAGCTATTAAGCCAATATTCTGTAACCAGGTCAGTAAGGGGACAGTACCATTTAATAAAGACAATCTTTTAATAAACGTTGAAGAGCATCTTCTCGCAGTCCTCTGTACCAAAGAAAACCTCATTATGAGATTATCACGAAAATATCGTAATAAAACTTGCATGATCACCACAGAAATGAGATTTTTCTTAAAGTTACATATTCCTTTTTATGTTTTGGAGGTAAGACAGCAACAATTGTGGAAAATAATATTTCCAGAAATCCTAAGGAAAAAGTAATTTCTGAGATCTTTCATCTGTTCCTTCTACCATCTCTATTTTCAGCGCAATCAGAGCATACAACCAGTTACAATCATTGTCAGATTCCTCGCTGTGCCTGTTCACTTGAGGCCAATGTAATATCAACGTCTCTTTTAAGAAGTCGCAATCCTTAAATGACCTTTATGTATAATTAACATGTTTTTACAGCATCTAAGTTCTTTAAAGCTATCTAGTACTGACAGCTGCCTCTTAAAATAACATCATATCTTTGTCATGTTCTGCTAATAGCTTTAATCACCTTCTTTAGGTCTCAACTCTGCAGCAGTTCTGGTAATCACAATCTTTATATTGTCTGAGTCCATATCTTGAAAAAGGTACCTCAGGCTTAAAGATGCAAAGTCCACAACTACATTACATGTCCCTGCTCTAAAAAGTGTAAATAGCAAGCACATTTCAGGATTACACTTTACACTTTTGGCATAGGAGAAGTCTTGGGTTGTTTGCTTGGATAGCGTAAGCAAGCTCATTTTACCACAGAGAAATTTCTCTCACTGTCTGGTGGCAGCCTTATCCTTCCTGATTTACTCACTTAAGGTATATACATAAAAAGGATCCCCACGCATGTCTCCCTACCATTCCATTGTTTAAGAATCACTTGCTCTACTGATTCCAAACAGCACTATTCTAAAGCAACGAACAAGTTCTTTAAGTTTCTCCTCCAGTCTCTGCTTTGGACTAGGGAACTAGAGGTGTGGGTCCTAAAGCATCTTTAAGTTATGTTTTCTACCTTGCTGGGAGTTGATGTTTCTTGGAGATAAAATACCTTTTAAACTCTCTCCAGTCATCCGCTATACTTCCATTTCTACGCTCAAGTGACTTCAGTTGCTTTATTCTGTAGGGTTTGTTTTGCTACCTTGTGCATTCCAGTCTGGGAACTTGACAGGGATTTACTTCATCTTGTTCTAACCAATTAACACTTATAACACCAGCCTCTGCAGAAGATAGCACTGGATTCCCAAGAACTTCTGCCAGAACCTCTCAAGTCCTCTGCACAGTCCTCTGCAACGTTACTTTATTCGCAGATGTCTCAAATATTGCTACATTTTGGGTTTAAAGTGGCAACAACAATGGAAACACACTTCAGATTTAAGAGGTGCAATATCAGTTTTGCATAAATTTGGAGAGAAGCCTGAAAGATTAACATGGGACCCAGTTCAGTCTTGACCTTCCAAATTACTCTCACTTGGCTTATTACTCTGCCCAGACTTTACCACTATGCTTACCCTGTATACGCTTGTATAACTTTTTATCCATCACCTCGGTTTATTTAAAAGTCATAAACAGATGTATTTTTAGTCATTATTACATTCAATTTAACATTATCTGATTTATAAAATAGCTTAAGTTTGTCTATGCTCTCCATTAAGTTCCACAGATAAGACCCATTTTTTGGCAACACAAAAAGCATACCAAACATCATGAAAAGCTTTCTCAAGAGAAAAAAAAATGCTCCAGAGGCACATATCGAGACAAATTACAGGATATAGATTTGGCTCAAAACATGGAGCAAACACCTCAAGGCAAAGACATGATTTTAAACATAAATTGTACATAGGCAGATGAAATTATAATACTTCTAAGATGTGAGACTTTAAAAAGAATCTGTGACTAAAACTTTGACAAGATGACTTTATACCCAAAATACAGTGTACATTTTCCATCCACTTAAGAATAGTTTATCTTCTAAATAAAGGTATGGATGGACACAACAAGGTAAGTGAAACTGATGATCCTAACCTAAATGCTTTAAAGCAGACTACTGTTCTACATCTGCCATATTACCTTCAAGAGTTGGGAGTAAAATCCCAAATCAGGAAATTTTGCAAAGGTTTAAAAAAAAAAAAAAAAAAAAAAAGAGGTATAATTACATTACTATTACATTAGTATTATACTGTTTAATACAGTTGATGTTACAAAAGGAAACTAATGCTCTGTTTGCCTACGTTGAAATACTCCTTGAAATTCTTCCAACGTTCAGATATCCAGTTAAGGAATACACGGACACTGAAGGCCAGAAAAATATCACATTATCCCTGAGGGGATGATCAAGTGATTAGGACTGCAGGATGCCTCAATCTGACCGCAAAATGAATACATTGGTGTATTCAGTATGTTCTATATGATTTTGTGATTAACTTTAAGATAATCACATGAACATCTCACCCCTGTTCCCTCTCTGCAGCACTGAGCTCAGAGTACTGTTCACAGTACTGCAGGGTAGTTTCTACAATTGGAACTTCAGTTTCAAACAGCATTGGCCTTACCGGAATTCAATACCTCAGGGAAAAGTCATATTTTGGCACAACTTTAAACTCCTTTTTTTTAAATTCAGTAGTAACAAATTAAAGACCCTGGAAAGTTGAAAGGGTTCTGATACACAATCATGAATAGAGTTGTTATCAATGTACGTAGGATAAATAAGTATTATATTTAATATTTCCAAAACTACGTACATACAACTACAGACAGACTAGATAATCAAATGCTTTAATAAGGGAGGAAACTAATTCTTTGACAATTTGTGATTAAAATCTAGGTGCAGTTGAGATTGTTTCTTTGTTGGATTACTAAAAAATAGTTTGTGTAAAAAGGCAGTATTTATCCATTTTAGAAGATGAACTTCTGAATAGACTTCTTTTTCAGTTCAAGTGATAGATAGCAGCACCCACCCAAGAAAACTTGATTTAAGGATCAGTGAGTAAAGCTATCCTTTCTATAGTACACCTGTTTCATTCTTCATTCTCTTTCTGCTAAGAACCCAAGCTCTATTAAGCTATGCATGGATTCTGTAAAAATTATCTGGAATATCTATGCTTCAAAGAATTCAAGGACATATTTAAGAACCACGAAATTTCATGTAGCTCCACAATTTCCATACTTAGAATTAACAGCACACTGGCTGAAGTGAGCCAGCATTTAAGCTCATAGAACATTATTAAGGTGGAGGAAAAGAAAAAAGTCCCATCAGCATTTCTAGCTAGCTAGTTAATTCTATCTTAATTGACCACTTACTAGTTTCATTTTGTAGAGCAGTTTCTTCTTTTTCAATTGTTACCAACAAATTTTCAGTGAGGTCTGCTCTTTTGCCCACAATTGCAAAGCCATTCCAGACATACATCATTTCCTGACAAAAACAAACAAGACAAACCCATGAAATTGCACAAATACTTACCTGAGGAGCAACAGTTGGAAGGCTGTTAAAGAGCACTGAGCACATAAAATATCACATACAAAAATGAGTTCTCCTTAATTTCCTGGTGAGTCTGGGGGACAAGGACTGAAATCCTCCCAAAGAGCATAAACATGTATGCTACAGACCAGTGCAAAACTAAAGATGCCTTTCAGTGCCATGTGGCAAGTGCAATTCATTCGCCACACGTTTGAACTTCCACGAGTTTTGGGCTGCTAGTGGGCTAGTATGCCACAGACCTTAGAATGTGTCACAAAAAGCCCAAGGCCATCCTTTTCTCACAAAGGCCAATAATTGTTTTAAGAAGGCAGACAGATACAGCTTAAATAATATTATTCTTTTCCCATGTAATAAGCTATACTTATTTTTCATTCAAAAAGGACCACAAGAAAGCAAGTGTAAATACCAAGGCAGGCAATATCAGCTTCACTGGTTGAGAACTTGCATAGCGTCGAGCTTTCCTCACTGCGAACTTCTCAGTCGGGATAGATTTTCCTGCAATTCTCTGTTTTAGACCATCCACTTGTCTACAAGGAGGGGAAAGGAAAACAGAAGTTGCTTCATAGTATCTTTAATCTTATTTCCCAAGAAAGATAACTCAAGTCAAACACATTTACAATGGGGAAGAGGTACACATTTAGTTACTGTATAAAAGCTTACCTGAACAAAGACACAATGTCCTCACCAGTCCCTTTCACATCATCCTCTGGAAGCATACACAAAATTGCTGCTTTCTGGAATACATATATTGCCTATTTTGAAAAGAAAAAGCAACATATTACTATATCTAAATTGCTATGCTCAATTAGAACATTAACGAACCAAAGCTCTCACCCACTGTTGCAGAGAACTACTTCTAAAAATTCTCAGGCAGCAGGATCTACTGAAGTTTAGCCACGCATTTCCTTTGTCACATAAAATTATATCCATAGTATAAATTATTTTCAACATATTTATTAATATAATTAAGTTATTCAGAATGTTACAGGTTTTTTCATGCAAAATCAGAATAATTTATTATGCAAACTGCTACGACAAAGAAGTGAGGTTACATTACAGAGATAACTACTCAAAAGTCCATGAATGTTATTATCTGATTCGTTCTGCTTTTTCAGGTATGCCTCCAAACACAGCAAAAACATTGGAGTACTGACGCAACGATAGTGCCATAGCTAGGCTTTGCAGAGAAACAAAGAAATATCGATAATTCTATTCATGACATTCGCACTTCACACTGAATAATACTATTTTCTTCCTCTTTTGTTAAGAATGGGATGTATCCCCTCTCCACTAAGCATCGGACAGTTATCTATAAAGAACAGACAAAAACCACATGTCCAAAAGTTATTTGCATATTCTGCTTAGTTCATACTTAGAAATGCATTTTTACAAGAAAAAGGTAAGCTGTCCTGCTTTTCTCACGTGACTATGTACCCAGCAGCCTGTTTCATGTCACAAAACATCTGCTGACTGGCCCTGATACTGCCAGTTCATAACTAATTAACAGTTAGAGTTTCTTTAGCCAAATTTTATTAAGGAATATTAGAACTTGATTACAGATGTAAGTGAACAGTTTCCCTCTCCATTTCTTTTATTGGTCTCTGGTGGGCATCTCGTTGAATTCAGTAAGACTGAAACATAGGTATTAGTTGTTCTAGTACAACTTCCTTAATACAGTTAAACCTCTCATTTTGGTGCATGCTTACAGGTTTTAGAAGAAAGTCAAATCTACGTTTATGGACACTCGTATGCAAATGTAACTTTGCAGAGGCTACTAAGTACGTCATAATCACGTCCACCTCCTCATTTACCTTGGACCATCTGCTCTCTTTGCTGAGCAGGTCTGCATACCGATATGCCTGAAGCCAGTTCTGCTGGAATGTGTAGCACCACATCAGCTCCCAGTAGCAGAGATGGTGAATCTGTTTCCATTCTTGCTGGGCTGCTATGCATTCGCGGAACGTTATCTGCGCCTAGAATTTAGTTAAGTAAGAATAATGAAAAATGACACGATCACAGATCAACATCAAAGTCATGTCTAATTATAGAGCAAATTCCTTCCCAACAAAGCATGTACAGTACTGGAGAATTGCTAACTATCAAGATGATGCAATCTTCCCCCTCAGTCTCTCTTACAGAGTCAATGCCATCAAACCTGAACTGAGAGGCGATGATAATTATCAGTCCAACTAAAGCGAGTTACTTGGATGGATTCGGCAAATACAATTTTCTCCCCAAGCTGAACTCTGAAAAGATCAAAACAGTAAGAAGAATAAACCAAATTACCTTTTCAAAGTTTCCTTTCAGGATATCTATTCTAGCAGCATAAAATAAAATAATGGAGCCCTTGAAAGGAGAGGAGAAAAAACAAACACACAGTTACTACTTTAAACCTAGGGAAATAAATCAGCGATATAAAATATATAGAGAGTACACACGTTTGGAAACTTCTGGAGGTAGGGTTCAAGGAGACTATCTGCTTCATGAAGGTTAGCTTCCCCTGTACCTGGAAACCGCAACAAAATAACCTCAGTCTACTAGAAAAAAAGGCTTTAGTTTCTAAATCATATTAGCGGTTAAATTGATTAATGGATGATCACCTTTACGCAAAAGGCAAATTATTATTTAATCATATTAAGACTCTATAAACATAAATTCTTGACCTGGAAGAGCAATAGGTGCAAGTAGAAGTAGAGCAGAATATATGGATATTGTTTAAATTAAATTCCCAACCACATATTTAAAAAAAAAAAAAATCCCTTTAATCTCCTTCGCAAGTTAGGAAAACTTTCTTCAGCTGCCCCCCTTCCTAATTTTGAGTTCCGTAATTATGAACAGGTGACACTAAAAATGATCTTCCTGATAAGGGCACAAGGACTGAAATCCTCCCAAACTACAGAACATAAACATATATGCCAGAGACTCATACAGAGCTAATGGTGACTTTTAGCCCCACTAATTAATTTTCTATGCGTTTGAAGTTCCACATGGGAAATCTGTCTCTGGTTTTGGACTGCTACTAGGTTAGTATGCCCCAACAAAATTATTCTAGTATGTTTCACAGGTACAGCTCATGGAACTTCTACTTCTATGCACCTCCTATCTTCTCTTGAATTTACAAGATTGCTTTTAAAACAGGCAAAAAAACTCGCACACGTTTCTTCCTCTAGAACATACACAGAAATAGAAAGCAAGCAAGCAAATTGTTTGTGAGTACATGAGTCTCTAGAGCTAGTTTTTGTTATATCTGACGCTAATTTAGGATAAGGACTTGTCTAAACCTAAACTAAGTTTTTTGGTATTTTGCTGTTGCTTGTTAAGATAGCCCTTCAAATGGAACAAGATGTCAGCATAATGACACCTACTTGAGTGTTTCTGCAGACATAGCTTCGGCAGTTAGAAGTACGAGTTTTAGACCATAATTAAGCATACAGCAATTTACTACAAAGCTAACAACCACAGCTTCTAAATTCAGTTCAAATTCACAAGACCTGTCATATTGCATAGCACGACTGAGCAGACTCTGGGTCTTACCAAGGATTAAGGAGACGTAAGTATGATAAACCAACAAGGTGAAAGTACATAAAATGGCCCTCAAACTGCTGCCGGATGCGCCTTCCCGTAGCTGATGGAGGCCCAACTCCTAAGAATTATCACAAATGCATGCAGAATTAGCTATCATTACACAGAGTCACTCTTAACAGAGCCTAGCTCCCCACCATCCAGTTATTCCTTCTTATACATATTTCCTAACTCATAACTTACTCAGTTCCACCACATTACACCAAAACAGTTCTGGCACAGCTGATAGCACTGAGCAGAAGTAGCTTAAGTTAATACTGAACAAAGTTGCACATGCATTTAAGTCCTTTGGTGAAGTAGGTCACACACAGATCACACAGCCACAGAGGTCTACAACCTTCTACCGCCTTCTGACTCATTATGAGACTCTTGGAACTACATCTTTAAACATACAGGAACCTCTCTCAACAGTTTCAATGCTGCTTCTAGGCAAGTCTTCCTTCACAAAAACTCATGCATAAATCCCTCGTTATCCTCAGTTCTCCTCTATCAAGTCAACCTTTATTTTCAGGTTCTGATCAAAACATTAGTTCTACTAAGACACCAACTTCTAGACACTATTTCTAGAAGCTCAATGGAATCTGTGTATACTGAAAAAAGGAATTAAATTCATGGAGACCTACTCAGCTCGTATATATGAAACCTCTTCCCATCCCTTCCAGTTTATGCCCATTACCTGATAGCTGACTGGGACTGTGGAGATGAGCTCACAATTTCCCTACTCAAAAGCAGTGAGTCTTCAGAAACTTACTAGATTTAAACAGTTTTGTTTCAGATCAAATATTAGCTTAGTAAGAGTTTAATTACACAGCAACTTGCTGAGTTACAGGAAACATACAAAAATGTGGTGATATTGCATAAAAGCAGCTCAGTTTTCCTTTCACCTTTTACTGCCTTTTTAATCGGGGCAAAAACTATTACGAAAGAGCTTCAGCATCAGCTAGATCTTTCACAGGAAAAAGTAAAAGGTCTCTCCTAATTCCCCAACTACGTGCTACATTTAGAAGTTCCCTATCCCAAAGTGATGGACCAGGACAGTGGAGGAAACATAGAAGTGTGATTCCCCCTTTGGCTGCTAGTATAAGGAATATGATTTATTGCTCTATAGGTTAAAATAAACACACACACACACACACACACACACAGATCTTCTCTCCCTAAGAGCCAGGAAGAGGAGAAGAAACTGCACCTTGCAAATAGTCTCCAAAAGCCCATGGCTGTTCAAGATTAGGTATCAACATACGTACTTTTATGCCTGCACAATCTAGCCCACTAGTTCTCTTTTCAACAACATTAAAAATACTAAAATGTAAATCATTATATTTTGGTACAAAATCTATGATGTTAAACGCATCCACTCTTTACCAGAGAGGACACTAATTTAAAAAACAAGTATCAGATTCAATACCCTATTGCCAGAAAATCCAATAAATTCTAGAAGTCGAAGGATCCTTCCTGGTAAAAGTGACAGCATCTGCAATACATTTCAAAGATATAAAAGTTATATAAAACCATACACACATTCAAAAAATTCTAAAACTGCTGTAAACTTCAGCCAAAAATTCTAGTTTATATATTAAATGCCATTACACTTCAGTGAAAGAGTAAAAAATAGACTTTAAAAAAATTTGAAAGTAGACATGTGTGATCTACAATATGCAACCAATTTACAACTTCGGGAAAATTCGGACTCTTGATCATCCAGCACTGGAAACAGCAAGACAGAAAGTCCAACTGTGCTTCTTCAGATAATAATTTTTGTCTTCAGCTGATCAGAATCAAAGTTTGAAAATCGGGGGTTATGTGCGATGAGAAGAAAGTATTATTTATTTTGGAGTACAATCTGCAATTGTCGTCTTCCTTTAACTATTCCCAATTAGATGACTCAATGCTAAGAACTTTACTTGCTCCTACTTTGCAAGGAATGGATTAGCAGACCAGCAAGCATACTGTACAGAGGTTTCAGCTGTGTTCATCATCCTTTAGCCCTTTATCACATGCACTTTCCATTCCCCTTGTAGCTGCAATCTCCACACTGTACACAATTGATAAGAGTTTATAAAGATCACAACCATCTTTCCAACAAACTCATTACAAGAAGGTCTGTTTGAACGTGAGGTTTTGAAGGCACCATTCACTTTACTGCATTTTACCCAGAACAGATTTTTCATTTAAGTTTCCTGCTGAAGAGGCGTCACAAAGAATAGGAGAGGTCAGAACACAGGAATCTACCAGCACTGAGTTTTAAGAATGACAGGTGCAGACAGACCTGAGTTGTTCTGACCGTACACAGAATTGGCCAGTTCCTGTCTTGAATGATACAGGAATGGTGGTAACGGTAAGAGTTAATTTCTGCTGGTATCTTAATAAGAAACGAAATAGCAATGATAGTACCTTGTAAAGAAAAATACTAGCGGATGCACTCAAACTCAGTAAACAACTACTTGTTCTGCATTTGCAATGATCTACACTAATTCACAGTGCCTATCTACAGCAAGCTACTACAGCAAAAGAAACTGTGCTACACACAAGTAAGTTGACGCAGGTCTTTTTCCTTTAAAGAAATAAATTAATTAGTAAATTAAAAGTTAAATAGACTTCTAAATATATTTTAGGGAAAAAAACTAGTGTGCATGCATGCAAAAAGCGAGTACTGTCTTCATACTGACAAAGCCTACAAAACCTGCATCTCTGCTGTGCAACCATTTCATTTTTAGAAGAGGATTATAGTACTACATCTGCAAAGAAGCATTCTTATATTGAACTGTACGAGCGCTGAATTATCCCAATAGCCTTTCCGAAGTATGAAAAACAAAAGCATAGCAAATTGAATGCTCCTATTCCAAGTTTTACTCCTCCTTCAAATTGGTGATAAGTTTCATTTTTGCTTTTGTTCCCCTGAGTCATCTGAAGCACCTGATGACATTCTCTTTTGATGTAGGAGGAAAAAAAAAAAAAAGGAAAACATAACTTAAAAATAATATGAAGTATAATCACTATGACTACGATGACTTTTTTTGTAGACGTTAATATAACTGCACCTGTTTGCACCATCATTTAATCTAAGTACTTTCTAATGACTTACTTGTATATTTGGTAACTTGTCCTAATTTTGAGACCACCTTTGATAAAGTTGATCATATTTTCATCCTGGGAGAAAAAACATTTAATTGTACAAATTCAACGTAAAAATCTTCTAGCTACATTTTAGGTGCTTTTACAACTAGAAAGTCATAGGAAATTTTAATTAAAGATATTTTTCAGTTTTTAACTTTAAAGATTATTCTACCACATGTATTAAGTTGTCAGAGAAACATTTCTCTGTTATGAGACAAGTTTTAAAACTTAAAAGGAGGTGGAAAAAGTAAAAGAAGTTACTTTCAGCAGTTTCTAATGCTTATAAATGATACAGGAAAGCTCTCCACCAGATGGTGCTGTAAGAACTTAAGAGTTTTGAAACGCCAATTCTGAAACATGCAAGTGATCCCAAAACCTGGCAGAAAGCAACCCAAAGTATCCCTTAAAGAGATGAATTCCCATTGCTCATCAACAGTTACCCCACATGCTTCCCAACATATATATGATTATTAACCTCTAGAAAACATAAGCCAAAATCCACCAGCCATCAAAAATGCGTTCCTGAAAAGCATGATTATTAATATATTATTCAACAGACAGAATAGATTTTTTCCCATTAGAATTAACAGACAGGGAATGTGTGCAGGCAGTTCAGAGAAGTATAACATTTAAATACTCAGGGACAGCACACATGACACAGAAGATGAAAAAGCAAGAACAAGAACATTGCAATCGTCAACTGAAGGAAAAGCTGGCTTGCATGAAAGAATCACCATTCTGAAAGGCCTCAACTGTTTTGCTGGTAAGACTGAACAACAAATGTAAATGCTTTAGTACAAGCATCACCATCTAAATGGTTAGATTTTCATTACTGTCATTATCATCCTCAGATGAATCAAGATCAACCAAGGATGAAAAACATGGGATTTGACGGCAATCAGCAGAGGAGGGTATTAAAATCAACAGCAGTGGACCTCCAAAATCATGAACAACGAGGTGCTGCTGTGAAAAAAGCATCCCCCTTCCCCAAGGGTATTCTATTTCATATAGTCCTAAAACCAAGTTAACTTGATATGTCTTTAAAAACTCTCTTATAATGCTTTAAACACAAAAGAAAAATAAAAAGTGGAGGTCGCTTCTCTTTGATTAAGAAAGGAGATAGTCAACTACAGGAAGGACTGGCTAACATTACTAATGTTTCCTGACACTTCTGCTAGAAGTATCACATTAAGTGGATTATAAAGCTTTGCCAAATTAACCTTTTGGGTGCTTCTGACCTTAGTATCTCTTTACCACACGTCTTCCTCATAATAGTTATTTCTAAAATAAATTCTTTAAACATTCATAAAGCACTCTCATACAAACAACAGTATGAGGAGATTAACAGTTCCTCTTTTCAGATCAAATCTGAAAACACTGTAGCTCTAAGTCAGTGAACCACATACTAAAAAAAGTATAAAATAAGACAGCAGACTTTTCTGTGAACTGAATGATTTTTTTCAGAAAAATCTAATGCTCCGTTTACAATCATTCGTTATCACACTGCTGCTGACACCAAACGTGCACGGACAGTGACGTTAAAGAGAAACGGGCATCAGCTGCAGTTTTGCTGGCTGGAAAATATTCTACCCTTTTCATTGAGAAATAGATCTGTACTTTCAGATAAGACATTTCTCAGTACTTCAACATCTTTTTAAACAAGTGCTGTACAGTTTCAGGTGTGACGCAAGTAACTTAAATTGTCCATGTGAGATGGTGTAATACCTCTTAGATTTTTGGCCCCTGGGCATCAGTAAGATCTTTAGTTATTCAAATAAACACAAAAAAAGTGAAAACTTTTCTGCGTAAAATATATCATACTTTCAATCACTGCCATGAAACAACATTAATCACTACAGAGGAAGCTTGCTTTTTTAAATACCCTACCTACTGTTGGAATGAGTGTCTTGTAGAACTATTAACATCTTTCCTTTAAACTGTTACATAGAGATACAAAGCAAATAAGTTATTTTACCTGTACAAAGGTGAGAGCTGCTTTCTGTAGCAAGCATTCAGCATAACAGATTTCAGCATGCATTTCCTCTATATAAGAAAGAAAAGTTATTTACTGTCAGCAAAGTCTACCGGACAAGTCTCCTCTTGGAGCAGGTGAAACAAAGTACCGCCAAGAAAAAAAAGCAGGATTCTGCTGTTGCTGTTTCGATTACTGCTGAATGAAGCTGTAACATACACATCTCAAAGGAAGTAATAGAGAAATTAGTTAAAAATAGTCTCCTATTTCACCTTTCCTCAGACAAAACCCTTGATTTTGTCCAAGCCGACTTCTATCTACAGCAACAGCTTTGAAAAGATGCTATATGTTCTCTTGTACCCTCCATCAATACATTAAGTACATTAAAGCGTCAACCAACAGCAGCTGGTTTTTCCAGACACTCCTTCCTTTTCTTCAAAAGCTTTTACAGATGAATAGTAACACTCTAAATGTGGCTCACGTTTTTCTTAAGTTCAGTAAGACACTGTAAAAATCTTTTCCTAGGGTCATGCTAAACAATCTGGAGACCCTGGGCACACTTTCTGTTCTCACGCAGCACTCAGTACATCCGATTCAACACACGCAACTTGCAAAGTTACACTGTACACATGCTGCAAGATCAGCCACATTCATTTCTGTGCAGTACATACACAGTGAGTTTGAAGTGTCTGGTATTAAAGAGGGTTTCTTTGTGTCAGGCTAGAAAAAACACACACTTAATTCTGCCCGAATCAGGAAAAGGGGCGAAAAGGGCAAGAGGGGCCTCTCTTCAGTCCCAGAGTTCATCATCAAAGGCATTCTCTTCTTATTTCATGCATACCCAGGGACAGATAAAATTAGCATAAACCCCCATTTTGAGAAATTTTTCATTAAAAGCAGCAGAAAGATTATTTGTCGCACTAACACTGATTTCAGAAGAACTCACAGTATTTGGAGAGAAGGAGGAATATATAGAATTTCTTTTATTGCAAGATAACTACTAAAATTACAGAATTGAACATACTAATATGTGCTGGGTGGGTGTTTCTGATGATTTTTGTTTTCTGTGTGGTTTTTTTTCTTTTTTCTTTTTTAAATGGTATTATAATCCACTTACCTTCACTTAACTGATCCACCGGCTGTTTAGAAACTAGATTGGACAAGGATTCTACCACTGTGCTTCTTTTCCTGAATCTACATCAGTCATACACGGAAGAAAAGAAATCCACACAGGATAAGCAAAACTTCAAACAGAAACTTGAACTTAATTCAGTATATTGCAATTCTTTAGTATTTGCAACCACAATTTATAAACATGCTCAGACAAGTGATGATCTACCGAACTACAACTCTTAGAGTGAGCTAGTCATCACCCCAGGTGTAAATCTAGGCCCAGAAACCTATCCTATCTTAATTTGACTTCCAAACATGCATTTAACTTAATCTATGAACACAGTAACACACCTATCCCCCTTTCTACCTACCAAGTTCCTGTCTTAAGCATGCATGTAGGAACACCGTTGGGGAATGACTCAGTATAACGTAGTAAAATGTATTTTGTAGATGAAGTGCAACTTTTAAAACAAGACTTTTTGTAAAACAGTCACAGTGAAGGCATCTTGATGTCATTTACAGAGCTGCCACAGAAGTCTCTGACGTTGGACAGGTCACTAACTGGACTTTATAAATTGCTTTTTTCATTTCTTTTCATCAAGTCTCACTCAGAATTACAATGAAAGTAAAGTGGAGCTTATTTTCAACATAAATGAAAACCAGAAACACTTCAGCATGTATGGCATTTTATACCATATGTGGAATTTCAAACTCCTCAAAGCAGTCACACGTTCTTCTTTCAAAAGACCTCAATTATCCATCTTCCAAATTGTTATTTTACTTCAGTAAGGTACTTCAAAAATGAATTCATGGCTGTTTGCAAAGAACTCAGCTTTATCCACAAACCAAAGAAGCAATTCTACTTTCAGAAAGTAAATGCAATTTGAAAAGTTGGGAAGTCACACATTAAAAATATTGAGCATTTGTTTATCATCTGTTTCAGTATCCTGTATACTGTCAGGACAATGACAATGAGACAATAAGACTACAGGTTAACAAAATGCATACATAAAACAGGGACCAATCAAGGCAATGTTGTTCTGACATTTCTTCATTTCCAAGTATTTGATTGCCTTTATCTTAACGGTCTTTTTATGTGTTTTCGGATAGAGCAGAACAGAGCACTTATTCATAAAAGTTTGTATCCTGCAAAGATGGGGAGCTATTTTGAAGCTACTTTCAGTTCTTTTTCACAGAGGCAGGATACAAAGAGGCCCCTATTTTTCAGGTATAGCAAGCAGCACAGTTCAGATGAAGCTCTGAATTGATGGCGCACCTGAAAAAATAGGCACTTGTTTGCACATCCAAACTGAGCGCTCCTTGGTAGGCAAGTGCTAAATAGACTTGCCGAACATGATAAAACGCAAAAGAAAGAATAAAAACACATTTGAAGCGCTTTCATTAGTAACTACTTTTATTCACAGCTGTCTGCTCCCTTACAATAGTACTTTTCCCTTTATGCCTTTCAGAAGGATAGTCTCTGCTGAAGTTCTGTAAAGACAACACTGTAAATGTCCAGAAGCAGGGGGTTTTTTCCCTCCCATTCTTGAAGGGAATGGTAGCCCTTAAACTGCAAAGTAAACTAAATATTTAGATTTACAACAACAAAGAGTTTCATTTAGTTTTAAGAGTAACCTCAGCACAAACCTCACCCTATTAAACTATTTGGTCCATATCTGAAAATAACTTCAATAAACATACATTTCCATGATAATAGGAATAATTTAAAACATTGGGCTTTTAAACAGTTTATCCCCATAGAAAACAAGATGTCAATAAGATGTTGAAATAGCTCAGGCAGTTTCATCATGCAGTGACAGTAAGTGTCAGCTTATGGCCTACACGGCCAACTAGCTATTTAACTATCCTTAGAGGATATAAATATCCAAACCTGATGAGCCTTTTGGTTCTGCAATACTAATAGACATACTCTTAGCAGTAACAATTGCATAACGTAACGTACTTCACAGTTCCAAATTTAAATCACTACCACACCAACAACAGCCTGCTTTGAAACTGTACAGACAGCTAGGACATCTTACAAAAAAGAACACGTAGTAGTATATGAACTTTATAAATGTAAATTGTTCAGGCTTACCTTTGGCAGGTTTGTAAAGCTTCCTTCATTGTAGAAATCCCCATTTGTATATCCTGCTGTTCGAAGGTCATAGCAGCTTGCATAACTAAAATAGTGCTGTACCCAAGGGCATGGTACATACTATCTTTAGACCTATTGCAAACATATAAGTATTGTGATTTTTAGCCAAAACTAAAATAATCAGGAGAGAATTAAGTGCTCTCAGGGATATCTGCATTTGCTTGTGAACAGATAGAAGAATAAAGCAGGGAAATAGCGCACTTCAACATAACCTAGAAAGTATCACCTTCCACTGGGTGCTACACACCCACCTCCACAGGCTACTGTTGCAGTGAATTCCAGAGAATATTCAAAAAAGCTTACGTCAACAGTTGCCCCTAATTATATTCCCACTTATATTGCATAAGCATATCTGCTTAATTTAGTTAACTGAGCGCTGACATAAACATTCCTTCTGCTGCTTTCACTTGAAACAAGAGGCAGGGAGACACTTATGTTACCTGTCAATCTAAAGATACAAAAAAAATCTATTGAAATTGGTGTCACAGAAAAACAGTATGCCTTTGCTCGCTCAGTCATGCATGGAAGGCTCATTCTGCCAGCCTAGCTTTCACAGTGTAATTATAGAATCATAAAATGTTGTTTGGAAGGGTCCACTGGAGGCCATCTAGTTAAACCTACCAGTTGACGTAGCACTATTCTCAAATTTAGGTCCGGCCAGCTCTGTTTTTATTAACGACGTTCCAAAAGCTTTCAAAAACGACGACTGAACGTCCCTTCTGGTGCTGTGCTACTTGCAAATATACCTCTTCCTAATGACCAGTCTGAGCCTCCTAAGTCACAACTGGTGGGGATCTCCTCTTGTTTTACCATCTGCCACTGTGGAGAAAAGTTTGGCTCTGTGTTTGCAACTTCACTTCAATAGATCCGGACTGCTATTACATGAATCCCTTAGCCTCCTCTTTGTCAAAGCAAAACAAGTTCAGCCCTCTCAATCTTGCGGGTCATGTGCTTTAGTTTTCTAGTCATCTTGGTAGCCTGCTGATAGATCCTCTGCAGTTTCTTGACTTTGATTTAAAACTAAGAGCCCCAATTTAAAAAAAGTAGTTTTGAAGAGAAGAAACTAACCATGGCAGGGGAAGCAGACTCTCAGGCTAAGTGGTTAATTCTTAAAGATATCAACCTTCTTCCTAAAACTTCTAGAATCCTTCAGGATTTAGGTTTAACTTACACTGAAAAACTATTTTTCAATAAAAAGATTGAGCAGTTCTCTTTTTTAATGGAGCTTTATATTTCCTTCCTAGGACAAATCGTCCTTTGCAAATTAGCTGAATGTGCTGTAGACTCCAAGCCCATTAGCTGCCATGGACTGCAAATACCAATACTATAGAGTTCCAGAATATTATTTTTCTTCACAGCATACATCAACTAAAATATTTCACTGTACAAAAACTACTGCAACGTAAAACAGGGGCTTTGTCTTACAACATAAATGAAAGATCATCCAAGTTCATATGTATATGTATATATGCGTGCATATACACGCACACTGCTTGTATGCAGAACTCTATTTTGCAATACAACCCAAAAATGAAGTCTTAGTATACACCAGTGTCGCTGTGCCTTCCTAAGCACTGCTCAAATGGTTTTGTTTGCATTTGTGCACACTGCATGATGCTCAAGGAAGAGAGTTAGTATGCGGCTGTAGCTCATCTGAAAAGGTGTTATTCCCTCTATGCTTTCTCTATACTTATACAGTATATGCCACAAAAAGCACACATTTGATAGTTATCCAAGATTCTATTAGTTAGTTCTCCAAGATTCTATTTAACAAGCGTTCTTTCACTTTCCCATACTAACTGCCTAACATTACCTACTAATCATTTTACTGCATGTTATTATCACCAACCTGTAGAAAAAGAACTTCATGCAGGTGTACAAACAGAAGTTACAGAACTCCATCACTGAAATACCCTTCAACATAACATGAATCATTTTTGATGGGGCAGACAGGGAAGTAACTATGAATGGGTTTCAGACCCCAGGCTAAAAGAAGAGTCACCCAGATTGCCCACAGAAAGCTCAGCTGTGCTTCTTCAAATAATCTTTGAGCATTGATTGTTACTTACACCTGTACTGAATGGGGGAGAGGAGAAAGGGCCCTAAAGATGATTTACAATAGTTACTACCAACTCCATTAGGATAAAATTAGCTTATAGTGGAATAAGCTTCAGCATTGCTCCTAAGTAACCTTTACCCTGTACATTTTGTTGCAATGAAATAGTAATAGCAACTGCCTGGAAACACTGGGAAAGCCTGAAAGAGCAGGCAGACAAATCATTGCTATTGTTTATTTCCAGGTCTACCAATTTTGTTTTCCTCGATTACTGTGATAGTATGAAAGGGCATTAGCAGAAGCACACGCTTCAGAATTACACATATTTGCTCAGATGTTGTTATGGTTTCATGCTTCTTGGAGTAAAGGCAACAGAGGAGCAGGAAGAATTAGTCAGCTGCCGTCACTCAAATGTTATACAGAAAGCATAAAAAAAGTACTGTAAAATTTTCTTCTATTTTTGCTTGCCTGGTCTCTACCCATTTTCTGATAAAAGATACATTGAATGAGGTCTTGTTCCCCTTGCTTTTCCTCTTTGCGCTAGAAATGACAGCTTGAATGATATGATTACAATTGAAACAGAGTAATAATTAAGTGTTTTATTAATAGTTTTTGTGGTAGTTTTGATTAGAAAGATGTGCACTGTTTAAGTCTGATAATGCAGAGATATGTTTCGGGAAGGGATACACACTATCTTTTTACAGAAACTCCAACAAAGGAAAATCTCACCATGGACGAAGTAGTTCCAGGGCTTCAGAAAACTTATTATTTAGAAATAAATTCAGTGCCATTGAACATTCTTCCAGAGCACACTTAAGATCCATCTTAGATGCCCTAAAAAAAAAACAAAAAAAAAATCTGGTTTAGCCGAACTGCAAATACGTAAAAATAAAAATTTCCATCATTTCCATCTCCAGATATCTATAATTTTGTCCTTACATATTACTGAGGCTCTTCCAGAGTAATTTTTACCATTGTTTTTGAAGTCTACCTTTACAGAAAGGAATCAGATTTTTTAACACTCTTTATTCATGTTATATGGGTATGACCTCTTGCTTTTAACGATGTTTATGACTTAGTCTTCCTCTGTTTACCAGAACATTTATCAAATCGTCCTAGAATTAATGGTCAATACGCAATGGAATAATTTTCCTATTGCTTATATAACACAAATGCACAAAATGTTTATCATCGAGAACTGAGAGGTTGGAGATAATGTCCATGCAAATGCAGTAACAGACCCTGTACTCAAATTTAAATCTGTATAGAAGATGATAAAATAATATTTTTTTGTTCAAGTAAAGCATTAGTCAGAGACACTCTGCAAACAGCTATGTTCAAAAATGGTGCTGTGAGAAGCTACCAACCCTGCAGCTGTGCCAAAATAAGTTATTGCATTGTTCTTCCAAGTCTGCTTCAAACAAAATCGCTTGCATTTGCTCAAGTGTGAGCCATCTCATAATACTGTTACCTCAATCAGTTTTGTCTGAGATAGATTACAAGGCACTCATAAATCGCTTCATGGGCAGAAATAGTGAAAAACTGAGCACTCATGGTTGTGGTTAATAGCTAGACCATCACAGGTGGAACTGGAAGAAACAATCTGCCTACAGGTGAAAAACAGGTTTAGGCTCTATAACGAGCTTTACCCAAGTAAGGTTAAGCAACAGTAAGCAGCAGATCATGTCAATGAGAAAAATACTTAAGTGCTGACCAGAAAAGAAGAATCTTGAAGGAGGAATTTAAGAGATAAGGGAAAATACAGAGAAGTGCAGCTGTTCTAAATCTGCAGGTAAAACTCATGGATGAAGAGTAAAACAAAGGTATATGATTGGATAAGTTTTTATATAGAATAGTCAGCTTTCCTACCCTTCCACATCACATCTTTAAAAACATTGTCTCTGCTTTCTGTATTCCTTCTGGGGCAGAAAACGGGAATAAGGGTAGATGACTCTTCCAGCTCTATGTTCTGTTATTCCATAATGGCAGTACCTGAAAAATTCAATCTCTTGTGTAAAATAAGTGATCTCATCTCTAACTTAGCTGATTTTGAAACTGATAGATTTTTATCTTTGAGCCTCAAAAAAGGAGATGGAAATTTTGCAGTCTGTTATAAAGCCATGTATAAAGCTCTGTTATGAAACTGCCCATTAGCTTACTTCTTTTTTCATTCCTTAGTCTTCACAATACTTGAGTTTTTACGTATAAGTGTGTGTGCTATATATACACATATACATAGATACACATGTGCGCACGCACACATGCGCACATAGCCTAAAGAAAAAATTTTCTTATGCGTTCAGCCATAGGACATGTTTGGGGAAAAAATAAAATTAATGCTTTGGGAAATTATTTAGAGATTTTTTTTTTTCTTCTTTGCTACTTAAAGACGTTCAGCTGCTTGTGATAATGAGGTAAGCCCAAGGATATGAAATAACAAAAAAAACCTGGTCAACTGATCAGATACGCAAACAATGACATGCAACAGCAATTTTACATAGCGTTTGCCTATATGGGAAGAATATACCGTATTCAAGTATGTTAACAGTTTTATGGCTTATTTTACTTTGATAAATCTTTCCATTACCAAAATATTTCAATACAGACAAAACAAAAAATGACAGCAGTGGTTCACCGAGCTGATATCACTTTAGTCTTTTGCCTATGACCACATGACATCATGACCTCTCAAAGGTCTTTCTTTTCTCTCTCTCTCTTTTTTTTTTTTTTTTTTTTAAGGTTATGTTCAGATCTCCAATTTGCCTTTAAGTGGCTTCCTAACACAATTATTTCAAGACCTTAAGGGCCAATATAAAACTCTGGGAAGAAAGTCTCCAACTTCTTCATCACACATCAGATACACAATAAACTGGTTGTTAGGGCTACCTAATATAGTGCCAGATTACCTTCTCAAAAACATTCTTTTTCCTCTGTTTCACTCATCTAGAAACTTCTTTCAACTGATAATTTGCAATATTTATTAGATAGCTCATTAATTCTGGTATTCGTGGTATATTGTTGATAACATTTCAAAACTTCCCAACATACTTGCTTAATGAAACAAGCTGTGATGCAATTAAACCATAAAAGTTTTGGTAAGAATGCAAACATAATCCTTATTTCACAAATGCCATTCTATAACTCTTATTCTGCTGCTTGTATCAGATGAAAAAATTCAGACTACAATATCCCCTAATGAGCCAGTCTTTTCTCTGGCTCTGTATCTTGTTTCATTTTATTAAGCTTCCTGCAGAGACAAGTCTACTCCTTCCCCCTTTGCTCCTGAAGAAAATAAAACCCTTTCCATCAGTTTTCTCTGTGCCACAGTCTTAAATCAGAAAATCTGGCCTATGCAGTTAGTTATATAGACCTACTGCTCTTACATTCATCATTATGAAAACTTCATTTATTCTTTATGTTAATTTAAGAGAAAAATATCCATAGCCTTATGGGGTTTTTTTTGGAGATTAAAAAAAAAAAAGCTTACACAGAGTAATGCCAGGTAATTATATGAGCCACTACAACCATCACTTGTGTGCTTCAAAATCTTTGTTTACTTCCTCTTCACGCCACTGAAGGTAGGGATGTTTTCCCCTACAGCACTGAATAGGAATTAAGGTAAATCCAGAATCTTACAGGATTTGTACAGCAGAATAGGTAACCAATGCTTCCATCCTAAACTGCAAGGCTGGTAAGCTAATTGTGACTTCCCTTTTTAATTTGGTTTCTGGCTTTAAGAGTGTTCTCATCTCCAGTTTTCAAAACCTTTTCCTGCAACCAAGACAGTTAGAAAAATACTTTATAAATACGAGCTGGTTTTCCCATGTTATTAAAATAAGGTATACAACTATGGCAGTAACTCCTAAAGTCCACTAGATTCACAGTAACATCTTAAGAAACCTTGAGAAATTGAATACTTCAGAGGAGATAATGAATTTAGCTTCTGTGTTACATATTTGATTGCAAGACCCTAATTAGAACCATGGTAAATCAACCTTTACCTTCATACTGAACTACTGAACCCTTTCCTGTTACTCTCCTTCCCTCTAGGCCCTTGCCTGTTACTCTCCTTTCCTCTAGGAACAGAGAAAGGAAAGGAAATAAAAAGAGAAACGCCTTTACCATCTATCCACACCTTTCCCATAAACAGAAAGCAATATGCTTGCAAAAGAATGACCCCATACACTTCAAGAGTCCAATTTTGCAAACTGTGCTAACACAAACAGAACGCACTGAAGTCGGTCGTATGACTCCGTAATAGCAAGCCATAAAGATAAGGTTGCACTCCAGCTTAAACAATATGGGAATAGATATCCCCACAGTACTGCAGACATACTCCAGAGCACTCTAGTACCACATTCAAGTCACCTTTGAAAACAGTTCGATGACTATGTAAGTACTGAAACAGGAGTCAGATTTCCAAAGTATTCTGCAAATATTGCCCCTTGTTTATTTGGTTCCTCAGAAAGCTCTTCTGAAAAAAAATCAGGTTCCCGTTTTAAGGACCAACAGCTACTAGAAGTCTAACCTTTTAAATATGTAAAATGCATTTCAATATATCACTATGGCTTTGTGCACATATAAAAGTTACATTTCTCCATTCTTTGAGCTGGACTTTGAACATAAGACTAAAAATATAGTTTACATGAATTTCACTCTATGGTAGAATCTTCATGCGTCAGTTTTGCAATGCATTTTGTGTACCTCTACTTTGTTCACAATCATCAGGATGAGAAAATAAGTGCATTAGAAATATTCAGCAAGCGCACTCCAGTAAAACACAGCATTATCAGTGCATCATTCACTGCAGAGGGTTCAGGAACTACACTGTCGATCATTTCCTAAGAAATTCATGGTTTCTTCCACATAGAAGCACATTTTATGCTAATCAGAACTTAGCTTTCTCCATTACAGTTATCTCCTACTTTAAGGTAACACAGAAAAAAATTGGAATCTGGCAGTTTTACCATCAGACTGCTGCCAAAAATAATTTTAACACAATTTAGATCCCTTTATTTTCTCCTGTACTGGAATTCAACTTGTTTATATATTCAATTTCAAATTCTAAGTAATTTTAGGCAGCAAAAAACTACTTCCCCACTGTGGCAGGTTTCAAAGTGTAAAAATAACAGCTCTATTTCAACTGGCATCATCAGCTACTCAAACATTCGCTTCCTGAAGATTCTTTGGCTGTGCACATGCTCCACAGCATTAAGGCAGGTAATACTCTCCATGCAACATACTGCCTTGACTTTCAGGTATCTAAAAAAAGGAGTGTCCTGTCAGCAGACAGGAGGTATCCTGGGGTTCCAGTCGAATAGAACAAGAGACTTGCAGCGACATGGCTTCCTTCCTTCATATGTGCTTAAGGTTTGCCCACCCATGGGTCATGCACACCCAGATTTGATTCCAACATGTAGTCCCAGGTGAATTCCTGGGGAACTAGGACTCCAATGCGGCCCATGTTTGCACTGTTGCATAGGCACAGGTACCGAAACACTTATTAGCATGCAGCATGCACAGGTACCGCAGAGTGGATCTAGTACTTTTGTTTTCTTGATCTCTGGCCTGCAACACTAATGAAATACTGTCCTGATGCCAGTACCAATTTATGTTCTCTCATTTAAATACCCTGAAGCTAGACATCTGTCTGCATTTTTTTTTTTTTTAATATTTCAGGGAAGTTACTATACAGCAACTTTATTTAGGTCTATGTACAAAGTACACATATCCCAGTAACAAATTAATATCCTTCAGGTAAGGTATCCCTCCTCCTGCTGCAGGCAGATTTAAAAAAAGTGAACTTTTTGTTATTACTTGTGTGCCGCTCTTCA